TTGAAATATCTGTGTCTGAATCAGTCTTTCATTTCAAACACATCACAGTCTGCTGTAACAGTCACAGGCAATGTGTGCTCAACGATGGGAATTATTCTGTAGCAACAGATGAAGGTATTTGGAATAAAGGTAGTTGAAGTTCAAGTTAAAGATGTATTTGGTTGATTTATTACAGATTTGTACATGTATGATTACTTCTAAGAGTCTAAGAGTGCACTTTTGTTGTGCATTGGTGCAATATAAAATAGACAATTGATTGATTACAATGTTGAAAAAAACATGTCTAACTTTCAGCAAAGATGAAATAAACTCCCCTGACTCCTCACTCATTTTCCTGTCTTTCTTATCCCTCCCCTTTAGTGCTGCCCAGTAGCATGCAAAAACACAATATTTGCAAGTTATGCATGCAAAGAACCTCTTCAAATCCTCCTTCAATGATTCTCCTTATGACATCAACACCAATGCAAGATGATAATTAACACAAGCCAATTCACTGTGTTTTCAAGCTCATGTGAATTGTCTCAAAGGGTGCTACAGTTCATTAACAGAAACCTGTACTTGATATCGTTTCCAAAGTCATCATACCAGAGGGCTGAGTGTTATTACCTTGGAAACAGACACACCTTTTTTTTACAGTATCCTCACACCCTAACATATACTGTGACATGTTATCAGTGTGTTTTACAGCCACACCTCATGTCATGTCTTGGGGGGCTAAATTGGATCACACTGTATTTGTGATCAGTTTATTTCAGGGTCTCTACCACAACAGAGAGCAAGATAACCAATGGTCATGCTGGTATATGCAATGACACACTCCTCAGTGGGTAACTAAGAGTGTATTATGGATAGATAATAAATAATATTCATTAATAATAAAGAATTGAATTTATATAGTGCCTTTCAAGGGACCCAAGGACACTTTACATGGCAGAGTAACGATAAAAATACAAGACAAAACAAAAACAAAGACAAACACCAAGACTTAGACGAGTCACAAAGGATGCGAGTCCAATGGGGAGGGAGAGTTATGAGAGGTTGTAGGCTGTGGTAAACAAATGGTGTTTGAGGAGTTTAAAAAAAAAAAAAAATCCAAAGATAGGGCATTGCGGATGTCTGAAGAGAGGGTGTTACAGATGGTGGAGGCTGTGCTATGAAGGCCCTGTCTCCATAGGTACGGAGTATGGTGTGGGGGATGTAAAGCAGGCCAGTGTCTGAGGAGTGGAGGTTCCCAGATGGGATGTACGGGGTAAGGACGTTCGAGAGGTACTGAGGGGCAATGGCATGTAAGAAGGACTATTTTGTAATTTATGCAAGATTGATTTGGGATCCAGTGGGGGTGGATGAGGGTTGGGGTGATGTGCTGCCAGGGCTTGGTGTGGGTGAGGACCCTGACAGCAGGGTTGTGTACATACTGGAGCCTGTCCAGGGCTTTGCTGGGTACCCCAGACAGGACTCCATTGATATAATCTAGACGGAAGGTTATGAAGAACACTAGTTAGAGTTTTTACCACAGAGTCACAGAGTGATGACCAGACTCAAGAAATAAATTTTAATGAAAGAGGGCGGATTTGGTGACAGATTTGATGGGAGTGGAATGAGAGGCTGAAGTCTATGATGACGCCCAGGTTGCAGACCTCTGAGGCTAGGCGGATGGAGCACCCCTCTACATCCAGAAAGAGATCTCCAACCTTCCTAAGCAGCGCCTTGGGGGCCCACAAACATAAGCTCAGTTTGATTGTGTGCAGGTTTAAGGATATTGGTTGACATCCAGGATTTGATGTTTTGTACGCAGTTGACCCGGGAGTGGGGTGATAAGTGGAGGGTTTTGTGCTGAAATAGAGCTGTGTGTCATCAGTGTAAGAGTGTAAATTGAGACCGTGTAGGTGGATGATCTAACCGAGGGGGAGCATGTTAATGATGAAAATGAGAGGTCTGAGTACAGAGCCTTGAGGCGCACCATGGTTGGCCAGGGCTGGGCAGGAGTGGGAACTGCCGATGGTGACAGACTGTTATTTGTTTAAAAGGTAGGATTGAAACCAGCTTTGCCGGTGATGCCTATTTGGGAAAGCAAGTGACAGTAGGATGAAGACAGAGGGACAGATAAAAACAGACACTCTGAGAGAATAAGAGACAGGCTAGCAGATGTTGCAGTGTGTGGGTGTTGGCCGGGGAAGCCTCAGTTTGTTTCTGTGTGGGGAACACAACATAGCATTTGGCTATACTCATTGAGGAGACAGTGCCTACACAATACCACAAACATGCTGTGTGGGTGCTTGGCACAACATGGATTGACTGACACTCCGTAATGGCATTTAGACAAAGTTGTGCCTCAGCAGGCAAACACACATGTACATTAATTACACAATGACACACGGACTCACACACTTGCACAGCTGGTACTGTGGGTGTTTGTGAAGGAGAGACCTGTGAGGTGTTGGTCCCGGATGGACTGTGGGCACTGAAGCTGGTCGACAAGTCCAGATAAGGACACATCAGAAGGTGTTAGGGAACAACAACACACTATGTCATGGATCCCCTCACTTACTAATTTGTTTATCCCTGCCTGTGGTTCAGTGAGCTTTATGCAGAAAGATGCTCGTGTCATACAGAGTGTGAGTTCTGTACTGCAGGCATGTTGATGCACACACCCTTACGCGTGACTGTTTCTTAAATCCTACACCTCCATCTGTTTAGCCGCCTGTGTATGAATTAGTGCTCTTCTGTTGTCTACCCCCTCGTGACTTTTGATCCAGGCAGCAAACAACATTTATTTTCAATGTCAAAAATACAAAAAGGCTGAAATTCTTCCTCAAATTAATCTTGTATGGCTGGACCCACACAATAAATACTGTGAAGGTTGCTGTCCAACATTTCTGCTTGAACAAAGTAACACGAACAAAAAAGTGAAAACCTTGGAATCATAAGTTCATATTTTTATGAACTGTAGCAAAAAAAATGGATGAGCAGTATGAATTGAACAACTACTGATGTGTAGATTTGATACTTTTCTCCTGCATGCTGCTTCTTCCACCAGCCGTCTCCTACTGGGCGGCTGTGGCTTAGTTAGTAGAGTTGTCACTTCTCAACCAGAAGGTTGAGGGTTCAATCCCCAGCTGAGCAACATGTCCAATGTGTCCTTGGGCAAGACACTTAACCCTGAATTGCTCCCGCTGCTTCAGTGGTGGTGTATGAATGGGATTAGTTACTTCTGATGGATGATACTACATAGCAATCATCACTACCATCAGTGTGTGAAAGGGTGTGAATGGGTGGGTGTGACCTGCAGTGTAAAAGCACTTTGAGTAGTCAGAAGACAAGAAAAGCGCTATAGAAGCTCAAGTCCTTTTTTACTGATTGTATAGAGATGGCGAAATCAAACTAATCAATGATAAACAAAACTGACTTCATAATTCAAATAGAAAAAGAAAGAGTTCAATGTCAGGGTGAGTTTTAATACTAGTGTTCATTTTGAAAGCCTGCATTATCTTTTTAATTGAATACTGCATATATCACAGCTTATTCTACATTTGTAATATCAGGTTTACTATACTGTAGCATTGGTTCATTGAGTCAAGTAAAGCCAATCAATAATGTTTCAATATTGCACAAAAAAGTCCAGTTCTGTTCATTTCTACCTCCTTGTGAAATAATATTTAGAAATTCCCAGAAAGAAAAACCCATGATACCATGCAATGTTATAAAATAGTCCTTCACACAATACACCTTGAGGCTTATCACTGTTTGTGTATTGCATTGCATTATTTCTCCCAAAGGTTGCTTATATTTTGTTCACCAATTTACATTGATAGAGGAAAAGAAATTGTAAAAATGTCTAATGGCACCACGACACAAACTAAGTTTCAAATGAAATTATCTATAAGTCAAAATAAAAACAATTAATCTTTTGGAAGGCTGTGGTGTTGGTTTCCATAATAGTTTACTTTTTATTAAAACAACTGAAGTCGTTTAAAACATTTCTAAATAATATTTGGTTTGATCAATGAAAAGGGAAACGGTCGTTTAATTCATCACTGTATGATTTATGCTATCTTTCTGTCTTACAGCTGGTGTTCAAACACAAGCATTGACAGCTTGAGGCACCGACTCATAGCAAAACAGACATTCAGTGGCATACATATTAAAGAAATCACTGCTGTGTTTTTGCTATATTTATGGCTTTATTACAGGCCCTTTTCCTAACATTGAATTGAACCTTAGCAGAAAATTGTAACTGAGAAATAAGAGATAATTTAAAATCTTCTGGAACTTCTAGAGTTTGGTGCAAATGCCCTTAAATAGAAATACAGTACACATCTATCTCTTACCACAATCTATCATTCTTGCCTCATAAAGCTAATTGATGCCATGTTTTATCTTCATCATCAAATGAATTATGTCAGCAGCTATAATTACATACAGGCTTGCTGGACTACGTCGTAGTACCTGTAATACTTCTCAATAAGAGTTGTTTTGAGTGGATCTATTCTGGCACGGAATTCTCCCTTGTGGCTGAATCATAATTCGGGGGGCATCCTCCTTTCCTAAGACAGCACCATCTAAGCCTTTTCTGCATTCTGTCTGGCTGCTTCAGGCCGGAAACAGACCATAACGGTCCACGAGAGAGACAGCCAGGAAGCGAGCTGTGCGCTCCTCTCCTACCCGTCCTCCGCTCCTCCACACAGCCCAGTCATCATCACCGGGCACCATGCCTTGCCCCCACCTTTCTCTACCCTCCCTTTGCTGTTTCTACTTTCACTCCCTCTTGCCCTCCCTTCCTCTTGTTCCTATGTGCGTCGAAAACGTCTCCTCCTCTCACAGACTCTGCGCGCACGTCTCCAACCAGTCTTTACGCGCGTACAAACTCTCCAAGAGAATCCCCTGTGGTCCGGCCCGCCCCTTTCCGTTTCTCGCCGCCCTCATTCATTCATGACCCTGATTTGGTGACGTAGGAGATTCCACGGTGCCCACTGCCGTAGGCAATAACGGGATGCTTGAGTATATATGGGACACTGGTAGCCATCAAACGGCACACTCTCAGTCGCTCCGACTCGGGAACCAGGGCATCAGCGGAGATAGCAGGCTTTACTTCAACCTCTTAGGCTAACTCGCTTTGGGCTTTGGTTCAGGATGGAAACCTCTCCGATTTATCGGAGCCGACGATGCTCCATCATGCGCAACTGCAAAAGTAAGTTTTCCTCGGCTTTGGACTCTTCAGGCAGATAGAGTTCATGCTGCTTTACTTCACTTGTGCTGCTTTGTCTTGCTTGTGCAACTACGGTCACAACTGTTGACGGCTTAATATAAGTTTAACATATTCCATTTGAAATCGAAATTGAATATATGATTGGATGTATTATACATAATACAATAGAAAGACAATCTATAGTAACTCATGTAATGCCTAACACGGAAGGCATTGTAGAGACATGCTAACATCGAATGATTTCAAGTGGAATTGAAGTAACCTACTTTTTAAAAGCTGTTTTTACTTTTGCTTGAAACGTTGTGATTTTGCTGTGCGTAATTGGCGTTTGAGGTGGAGTGCTCACGCGTAAACTTCATTTATTATTGAGAAAAAGTATTTCTCATGTAAGAGTTCAGGCTTTATCAGTTTAAAACATTATTTTAAGTCAATCCACAGCCAAAATGTGTGCTAATATGCACCCGTATAGACACAGAGAAATGATGTAATGGAGGCTTCAGCTATTTCAGCACCTCGGACAGCTCCAGCTCACCTCGTTCTGTCTCTCCCTCTCTCCCGCTCTTCCACAGGCGGTCTCTCCCTCTGGTTGGTGGTGTGGCTGGTCCTCGGCAAGCCAAGTCCGGCATCGGCGTGCCCGCAACAATGCGTGTGCTACCCGACGCCCATGACTGTGAGCTGCCAGGCGCAGAACTTCACCGCCGTCCCGGTCGGAGTGCCCTATGAGTCGCAGCGTGTGTTTCTCCAGAACAACCGGATCACGGAGCTTAGAGTTGGCTCGTTTGGCTTTGGGACTCAGGTAAGAATGAGTTTTGAAAAACAGCATTTGCAGTAAGAAAATGAATGCAGTTTTTTATTTTTTCATTTTAAAGAAACATCTATTTATGCATATCTTTTTGATTCCCACCGTTTGAAGGTTAGTCATATTCACGTTTTTTTTTTTGTTCACATGTCTTCTTGCATCAGGTTCTGTGGCTGTTCTCAAACAACATCACGTGGATTGAGGCAGGGGCTTTCAGTGAGCTAAGGGACTTGGAGGAGTTGGACCTAGGGGACAACCCTGGCCTCCATCGGCTGGATGGGGGAGCCTTCCGCGGCCTCGAGAAGCTCCAGAGCCTCCACATGCACCGCTGCAAGCTCACTGCCCTGCCTCATGACATCTTTCACAAGCTGTACAGCCTGCAGTACCTCTATCTGCAGGTAGGGGTGGAACTTGCAGTGACCCTCTCCTGTACAGCATCATACATTTCCTTTAACTGATATCATCAACCATGTAGCTTTGTCTAACTCCGTTTGTCTTCTCTTTTGTTCAACAGGAGAATAATCTCCACTTCTTGCAAGACGACATCTTCTCTGACCTCATCAACCTGAGCCAACTTTTCCTGCATGGCAACCGTATCCGCACCCTCTCGGAGAACATGTTCCACGGCCTGGTCAACCTCGACCGCCTTCTCCTCCACGACAACCGCATCAGACAGGTGAACCGCCGCGCCTTTCGCGACCTCGGCCGCCTGACAATGCTCTTTCTCTTCAACAACTCCTTGGCTGAGCTGCCCAGTCAAACCCTGAGGGACACACAAGGCATCGAGTTCCTCCGCCTCAACGCCAACCCCTGGTCCTGCGGCTGCGAGTCCCGTGGCCTGTGGGAGTGGTTCCGCGAGGCCCGCGTCTCTTCCTCCGAGGTGATCTGCGCATCCCCTTCAACACGCCGTGGCCAGGACCTCCGCTTTCTCCGTGAGATGGACTTCGCTCCCTGCCCCCTGCCCGACCCAGGGTCGATCGCTGGCTCCACCACCACCACCTTCAGCACCAAAACCCGCTGGTGGTTTCACAAGAACAAGCCCCAGTCGTCCATGAAAGGCGTCATCGAGAAGGCCTCAGAGACCGTTAAAGCCGGTTTGTACGGGAAAGGCCCGTCCACAACCACCTCAGTGGTCAAGTATGAGTTGGGTGAGGATGAGCTGGCGCTGCCCAAACTCGACCCAGAAGAGTACTGGGCCAACTACGGCAACGAGGACTCAGGTGTCACCCTGCGATGCTTCGAGCTCGAATGTCCACCTGAGTTTGACCTGCCTCCATCGTCCTCCTCTCCCTCATCCTCCTCGCCATCAGTCCTCTCACTACTAGCCCTTTCTCTTTCAAGCCTCTGCCTGAACCTCAACCGACTGTTCGGCTGAATCTGACTCTTAGTCGACATCTTTCCCTTTAAGCCTGTTTTATAGGCTGTGGGGATCCCTGTTAGACTCTCGACTCCCCTTTGCCCACTTTGCTCTATGCCAGTTCTCAAGGCAACAGCAAGGGAGATGGGGGGGATGGTCAGTTTTGGAATCGACCACAGGGCTCAACACTTTTCAGGGCTGCTAAGAGTTCTTCAGTTGAAGTCATATTTATCTACAATACTCTGCAGGTATGGCTTTCTGTGTCTTACCTGTATGATGTCGTGATTCCCTGAAATCAGGGCTACGAGGGCTGAGTCCATCACAAGTATCGACACGGTTTGAAAGCAGTTGATAATGATGTTGTCAATTTTTGACAAGTTCAAACTACTAGTGCTATTAGTGCATCCAATTAACTGGCTGCTACCAATATTACAATTACTGTTAGAATCAGTGCACAGTGATGACAGTACTGTAACCACTTAAAGTGTCATGTAAATAGGTTTGTGTTTTAGTGAGTGTTGATATGTGTGGTTCAGCACTCTCATTTCATATTGATCCAGGGTATACTTCTACAGGACAGAGCAGGACACACAATCAGGCATGGCTTTACAATAATAGAGAAGATAATGTCACAAAGAGGGCTGCAAGGTCAACAAACCAGAAGGTATGAAGACAAGGAAATTGACTAATAGGGGAGTGGGGGAGGATATTCTATTTAAGAAACAGTGTTAGAAAGAGAGGGGAATGGGGGCAGTGTTGTTGCAGCAATAAGGACAAAAGCAGCAAGAGTACAAGACAACACCCTGAAGGAGACGGCTGGTGGAAGAAGCACCAACATGCAGGAGAAAAGTATCAAATCTACACATCAGTAGTTATTCAATTCATACTGCTCATCCATTATTTTTGCTACAGAATACACAGTGTCATTTACGACAACCACAGGGAAAGATTGCTTCCTGTCAGGAAGCCAGATATTTTTGCTTTTTGAATGTCTTTCTGTGACATAATGATTTCATTTGATTTGTAAAGATTGTTGAATGAAGATGCATTTCTTGATATAAAGATACGGTGACTATTTCCTGAATAATGTTGTCTATCATACTTTTTTGAGCAATATTTGCAGAATGTATTTTAAAAAATGATTCACAGTTATCTACATGGTCATTTTGTGTTCCAAGCTAAAAGAATTACAATTATGGGGTAACAGAAAAAAACCCCAAAAGTTTACTATAAAGAAGCAGAATCCACCAATGTGACCAAACTGTGAATAAAAGGGACTAGAAGAGATGATAGGAACTGACCACATGGACTTGGTCTTACAGATAGAGGGCACTCAGCTCCTGCTATGATGGACATCTGTCTATGTGTGGTGAGATAAAATAGGATGAATGGATTAACAAGCTGGCATCACTGCAAAAGCAAATACGTCATTCAGTTTGCCACTACAGTGACTCATCGGTGGGCGACGCCAGATGGACAGAAGCAGTGCGAACTAGCTGATTAGTAAATATACTAAGAGAGCAATGAGAAAGTCTGGTGAGTGTCTGGACCGGAGAGAGCAGGAGATAAAAAAAGACAGAAACTGGTGGAGATAATGAGAAGTGATAAGAGGTTCTGGTCCTGAAGGCTCACATTCAGTTCAGGGGATTATTTTAGATGAGACGGCAAAAAAGTTTGGAGCAAGAATCACATGAGCATGCATTAAATAAAATACAAATAAGGGAAGTGGAAATAACCAAATATAGTCAGTGTTTATCTATTCCTCCCTATTCAAAACAAGTATTCACACAGTCTTCAGTCAGTGGAGGTGTGCTGATGTATAGCAACAGTTTCTCTTCTTCTTCTTTACTTGCCCACCTTTTTCCTCAAGCTCTCTGCATCTCTCAAGGGCTGAGAGAATACGGAAGGAGATGGTCCCTGGCTCCAGTGGAGGTGACAGGGGCAAGGCCAAGATGTAGTAGGTGTGAAAGAGTAGGAGGTAATGTGAGAAAGGCACTCACATAAACAGACCCACACACAGAGCGTGTGTGAGTGTTTGTATTACAAATAATACAAACAATGTCATCCATTTCTCTCTCTCTTATTTTCAAATTGACAGAAAATGTAACCTGATGAATTGAGAAATTGAAAATGAAGGTCACTGTAATAATAAGAATGTATGGAGGAAATATTCAGTGTGTCATCCTGTTGTTAAGTCTTTTATTGGGTTTTGCAGAGGAGGTCAAACTGAGCCCGGGTGCTCTTCAGTGGCCATCACAATGAGGTCACTTTCAGATGACCAAAGTGCCAGTTTCCCTTTGTTCCCTTGTCATTGTACACGTTCTATGTTTTGTAATTAAGAATGAAATAATAATTCTGTATGACAGATTCAATAATTTGTTATTTATTTTTACTGTAAAAGAAAAAAAACATGTTGTTCAAAGATACAGCATAAGGAAAGAATACATTCATACTTGTTTAACACAATGTCTTTGTGTTGTTTCATTTTATGTCTTGGCGATTGTCCAGCCAAAGCAATCAAAGCAGATAAACACACACTCCCCCGCACAAACTCGTGGACACACGGCCACACTTGCCATTGTGTAACTCCTCCAGGCAGTAATCCAGCTTTCTAAACTATGCAGCAGTTCAGCCGAGAAAGACTGAGAAGCGGAAATGTGGAGATGAAACCACAGTATGAGTAGTGTAAACTTCATTACTATTCACAGTCAAGTCAAGCCAAGCAATTGTAAATGGCACAAAACTCAGCTGACACCATAAACACCTACTATTTGAAACATGCAGAAAACAATAACACTTTACAATGAATGTACTGCAGGGCACATTAATGGAACTGTTTTGCAAAAACATATGTGCAAGACTGCTTTTTAAATATAAATATGAATCATTCTTTGGGAGTTTATGTGCACCTGTAGACCACTAAAAATGGAATTTCCTATATGAAGAATGGATTAAGGTCTTCCCACTGGTGTGGGTTCTAATAATTACTTTAATTATTTACAAGCTGTAGATGTTAATTATTGTGATAATGTTTTAAGTAGTTAACTCGGAACGCATATGCCAATATGTACTTTGTAAAGGCTATCGGCCTCAGCAATCCATCCTCTTACTCATAATGCTGGCCCTTCTTAATTAGATTCCAGTGTAAATCCATCATCACCAGGCAGTACAGAGGTTAGATTCAAAGGTCATCTGAAGCTGTATAAGGCTTTAGCAGTTTGAGTTATTCAAATAATTTTGGTATTTTTCAAAGACAGTCTCTTACAAAATATCTCTTTCTCCTTGGAAAGAGTTTCCCTGAACTAATAAAATGTCTGTAACTTTGTGTGATACTCACCTGTCGACCTCAAGCTTCTCACTATTAAAACTGATCATCAGAGCATCCAGACAGTTCATTTAAATGGTGTCTACAGTCATGCAGGCAGATAGGCTGCATCTAAGAACAGCAAGTTTTACATGTTCCCTTTGAAAATGTTTTCATTCTGATATTTAGCAGTAATGAGTGTTAAAGTGTGAAATGTTCATGTTCACAATCTTGTTCACATGATGCTGTGAGTAATCGATCTTTGGCAATCCATCGAGAGAATGTTGAGATATGTCGGTGTACTATTTACCGAAGTTGCATGCAGCCGGACCAATACTATCCATTACAGAGTCAAGATGCAATCATCACTAAAAAACAAAAGTGAATTGGGTTTCTAGAAAGTAATAACTTAAGGGAAAATGCTAAACATCTGTCTTTCACTGGGACTAATTAAAAAAATATAACAAAGAGTATGGTCACTCTAGACCTGCCTTGAGCAAGCATTTTTTATGAATTGGAGCTATGCAGATATTATTCAGAACTAATTATAGTTGCTTCTTATATTTTATTGTATTTAAGTTCTTGCTAATTTTGCTTTATTTCAGTTTATTAACTGTTTTGCACCAAAACAGCAAGTTAGAGTCCTTGTATGTGTAAATGTACTGATTCTGATTCATTCTGAGCAACCAGATATTGATTTTTGATAGAATGCAAAGTACTAATTACTTTTGTTGAAAATGTAATTTTACAATGTATGAGGAGAAATGATGATATGAAAATCATCTATTCAAGAGTATCTTGAAGTATTTTATATATTAGGAAATTACTGGATTGCTTGGGAGAAGAAGGAAAACTAGTCATCATGTATGAAGGTATTTTTTAACATGGTTTTCTAAAAATGTGTTTTAACCTGTTTGCAATTATGCTTATATTGGTCACTGTCATCAAAACTGACAAATAAAGCAAATAGAAAGCTGTTGCATACAAAAGACAAACTCTCACACACACACACACACACACACACACACACACACACACACACACACACACACACACAGAGCTCAGTTGGAGGATCACACTTTGTCATGACTATATAAGGCTAAAGCAGACAGCTCATCCTTCACATTCCCATTGGTCTCCATGCTTCTGTGTGGCAGAAAAATTCCATGACGCATTTTCTTCTAGAAGTACATATAAACTGTGTGGGTACAATTGGGCAGCTTCAATGCCAGTCATCCATCAGCAAAGGCTGTAGGCGGGACTTGAATGTATCTGTGGAAGCTACAGTTTGTGGAGAAGATGATTATCAAAGGATGCTCATTTATTCATGAGAGGAGAGGGAGCAGAGCAGAGCTGGGAAGGGAGGCTGCTTGTTGTGCGCTTGATCAAATGCGTCACTACTTTGTCACAACTTGCCTCCACCTGCTGGGCCCCCAGCCCTCTCACAGTCTTTTTCTTACTCACATACACACCAATATGCCAGCAATTTCTCACTTCCTCATGCACATACGTAGTTTTCCCATCCTTTTATTCTGTTCAGGAGTTGACTAAAACTCTTCTTCATTCACATCTTGTGTTTCTGAGTTTATATTTTAGCACGCTTGCTCTCTACTGAGCTTTTGACATCAGAAGATTTTCTCAACTATCTGCCCTATTTTCTTTCGTGTAACCTCCAACGTGAGCTGACATGCTCCTATGATTCATGGAAGTAATTAGTAACTAGTAACTAGTTTGGAGTCAAAATGTCTGACTTATGTGATCTTCTTTGCTTGTCTATTTGAAAACATCGTTTCACTGTCTCTGAATCTGTTTTTCACTTGTGATCTCCTTCTATAACAACCAATAACCATACATATTATCCTGCAGCAATCAGTTTAAAGGCCAATTAGTACAAACCTCTGTGTGTTGTTGTCCTCCTCACAGCTAGTTGGTACCTATCTATTTGAAATATCAAAGAGTCAGAAAAAGATGTTGTTGCCAGTGGGGTGCTTGTTATTTCTAAGATATGTTTTCCAGAACATGTGGACATATGCAAGACATGTTCATTACAAGAAACATTAGTTGCAACATTTTTATCTATCTATCTATCTATCTATCTATCTATCTATCTATCTAAAGCAGAAGTAAATTTAAGAGACACAACAAAAAGAGCATGTCTAGAAGAGGTGTGACGTTTGAATCATGTACTTGGATCTCTGAAGCTGAGAACATTTGGAGGGCTTAAGAGCGAACACACTCTTGTTGGCAGTGCTCGGTGATGCTGATATGCCATGTTACAGGCACACTGGGAGACAGACGTTCCTCATTGCATCACTCAGGCAGCATCCACACGCACATGCACAGCGAACACCCAAAAAATACTTCGTGTCACGTGCATAAGCAGAGTAGACCGATCACATTTCACAACAATGTGGTCCAAAAATATTTACATGTTTTAAAAGACATGAGCACATGCAATTCAGTCTGTTTGTCATTTCTGAGGAGATGAGTGCGTCATGAACTCTGCTGCGATCTGTTCACATGCCCTTATACTTTTACTAAATCCTACCTATGACGCACATCAGAAAAATACTCCAAAATGAGAGCTGAGTACACCAGACAAATGCATATGCAAACATGAAGCAGCACAAACACAAAGCACACAGATGGAGATGCTTGCATGCAGATGTCTCCAATGAATTCTGACATCATCTGTCCTCTTGTCATTGAGAGGAAGAGAGAGTGACAACTCCATAGAGAAATAAAAGAAGAGAGGTGGAAAAAAGAACATAGGGGAGGGCAAGATGAAAAAAGAGAACAAAGAAAATCTGAAAGGATGGGAAGGAGTGTGAAAAACAGGATGTAGAAACAATGGAGAAAATAGTGAAAGACATACACTGTGGTATTGTTGTTCAAGAGGTATCAGTGACCAAAAGTGACTATTAGAACACTTAACTATCAAAACAGAAAATTAAGCTTGCACCTGTTAAATCAGACTTTTCCACCTGCTGTGCCCTTTTTCTCCACAGGGACTCTTAAAACTCACTGACCTTTCTCCCTTTTTAGTAATAGGGCTCAAGAGTGTGGTTCTTGAAGTAAAAATCCCATTCATTTTCTCCATAGCCAATTTGACTATTATCCATAATGTCGTAACTACCCTAGGTAGACTTACCACAAGCTGTGTATGAAATGATAGTATATGCTCCTGTTGGAGACACAAGTTTTATCAACCTTGTTTTAAGAAAAACATGGTCTATTCGGGATATCAGGTAAAAAGAACTAGACCATAGAGTGCCAAAGTCTCTGATTGGTGGAGCTTGCTGTTACCATGGCAATGTTTCTCGCTCCTCGGCACCGAATGAGAACGGATAGTTTTGCTAGCAGGCTAGCTAGTTAGTCAGTTAGCTAACACAAACCTTGTTATGCATCAGTGAATGGGATATATATATTCCACCACACAAAATTAAACATATTTCAACACTTGTATTAACAGAACAAACACTAAAACAACTACAAAAGTAACATTAAAGAAGAAGCGATATCATTCACAATGGATTGTGGGATGGGTAGTTTCTTGACTCCCGACAAATCTTTTACACAGTTTTGTACCTTTGCCTTTTTTCTCAAGTTTTCAATGCCATTGTGGCAGCAAGAATTAGCTAGATTTTCTACAATGAGAAATGTTATACACAAAGAAGCAAAAAACACAAAGCACACAGATGGAGACACTTAAATACAGAGTCCATTAGAGATTGTTGGGATGATGAGTACAAGCATTTTATTATTGTTTATTATATGAAACCACTTTTCTTTGTTGTTCTTGTGCACCTAGCTTGCTAGCATGATTTCTAGCAGGGCAGTAATCTCAGCTGTTCTCTTCTATCTTTTTAAAAGCAATTCGTACATTTATGGCTGCCCAAACCCAATGGCAATTGTTTGAGCATGATACATACCCAAGGGGCAACCTGAAGCCAATGTGGAAGTGTAAAAACCTGCAGTTTATCGAGTGTCTGCTTGAGGCT